ACAGAGAGGAGAGACTGTCAGAGATCACAGAGAGGAGAGACTGTCAGAGATCACAGAGAGGAGAGACTGTCAGAGATCACAGAGAGGAGAGACTGGCAGAGATCACAGAGAGGAGAGACTGTCAGAGATCATAGAGAGGAGAGACTGTCATAGATCACAGAGAGGAGAGACTGTCAGAGTTAACAGAGAGGAGAGACTGTCAGAGATCATAGAGAGGAGAGACTGTCAGAGATAACAGAGAGGAGAGACTGTCAGAGATCATAGAGAGGAGAGACTGTCAGAGATCATAGAGAGGAGAGACTGTTAGAGATCATAGAGAGGAGAGACTGTCAGAAATCACAGAGAGGAGAGACTGTCAGAGATCACAGAGAGGAGAGACTGTCAGAGATCATAGAGAGGAGAGACTGTCAGAGATCACAGAGAGGAGAGACTGTCAGAGATCATAGAGAGGAGAGACTGTCAGAGATCATAGAGAGGAGAGACTGTCAAAGATCACAGAGAGGAGAGACTGTCAGAGATCATAGAGAGGAGAGACTGTCAGAGATCACAGAGAGGTCCAGTATCTCTGTGTGATGCTATGTACGGTGAGGGGGAGGTCCTCCAGGGTCAGAGGTCAGGCGTGGGCAGTCCAGTATCTCTCTGTACGGTGAGGGGGAGGTCCTCCATGGTCAGAGGTCAGGCGTCTCAGTCATACGTGTTGTCTCTTTCAGGGGCCCCCATGAAGCTGGACAGCAGTTCCCGGTTGGCGTGTTCCCCGGCACAGAAGGAAGGCTACTTGCTGAAGAGAGGCAGCCGCCACGCCTCCTACCACCGCCGCTGGTTCCTGCTGTGTGGAAACCTTCTCTTGTACTGGGAGCGCCAGGGAGACCCCCAACCTCTCGGCCTCATCCTCTTAGAGGGGAGCTCCATCACCCTGAGGAACGCCAGACTGGAATACGCCTTCTCCATCTGCTCCGTGTCTCGCGTGTACAAAATGGCGGCCGAGAGCCAGCGGGACCTGGAGCTGTGGGTGCGGGCCCTACTCAGTGCCAACCTCGGCTACACCCGGGCTCTCCTCGGGGAGCTGCGCGGCCAGTATCTGAGCCTCGCGCCAAACCAAACCGCACAGACTGGAGACCCCGCCCCCGAGGAGCCGGAATGGGAGGCGGAGTTTGGGCTCCTTCACGATTGGTTGGGGAAGGAGATCCAATCCCTGAGAGACACCAACCTCATTGACTTATCGTGACCTGCGTGTGACGTGTCAGTGAGAAATAAAGTGGTTCTGTGATGTCATTTCCTGGAGCCATCACTGGGGGAGGGGCAATATTAAAGAGAACGTGTCCTCATAGTTCCCACAGAATGGTTCTCATTACTCCTGTGGCCCTTCAATGATACCAGGCTGGGGGGGTGGTGCTGCCAGAGTCATCTCTATCCTGCGGTCACAGCAGAGGAACTCCCCGGGGGAGGCATCTCTCTGCACAAAGTTGGCCGAGGTGGCTTTGGGGTGTAGACCACGTGGTACCTCTGGGTGGGGGG